ATTTCTTAGGCCTACTGAAAGATGAAATGTCCAGGTTTCATATCACTGCACTCCAGAGAATCTACAGACATCATAGCTAACATTTCTGGGAAGGACAATTATTTTGGGACCACAGGCCTGGAACTGGAAGGCCTTGTTCAAGGTTCCATGTACTACAACCAGAGGTATGACTCTGGGCAAGCCACTCGAACCTGAATTCCAGTTACTTCGATGCAGGTCAAATAAGGATACCTGTCCTACCCTCTTCAAATGTTGCCCTGGAGAGCAAGTCAAATGACACACTGCAGTGCCCCGTGAACTCCCAGGCAGGGTACAGGGTGCCAACAGCGGGACATGGTGCCAGCGAACAGGGCCCCGCATTCTCTTCGATCTCCTCCCATTATAAACCAACAAACTGGTTTCCCACCACAGAGAGTGGTGACAGCAATCAGTTTAGGAAGCTCTGAAATAGGTTTTCATCTCCTCAGGGAACTCCTGCACTGTGCAAGGCAGCATGAGTCACTGTGCTTCCGAGTTTCTGGTGGTGTTGGAGGGGAGAGATTCAACTCTACAAGTGCATGAGGATTCAAAGAAGAAAAACCAAGTAAAACCCTCCCTTGCCCTCCAAGTTCCTCTACAGCTAAAATACTTTTTCCTCCTCCCTTTTAATTCCAGGTTCCTAAAAGAAACTTGCTCTTTATGCTTTCTGACTCTACTTCTCACCACCCATTCATGCTCCCTACTAGAAGCAACCTGGGCCTTCCCTAGCTGGAACTGCAGAGGCAAAGGTCATCAACAATTTCCTTGTTGCTGACCCCAGGGGACTCTTCACCCCACACCCGACCTGACCTCATGGCAGTATCTGAGCTACTGAACACCCACTCTGCATTGCTCTCACGAATATGCTGATGTAGCCTCTTCTGATATTTCTCCTTTATCTCTGCTCTTTCAGTCCCCACTATGCGTCCCCCTTCCCTATGTTCATATCATAAATGCAGACATTCCTCCATTTTCCCCCATAACTTATTTAGTTCCTCCTGTTCTCCATTTCTGTGGCTTCAGCTACAATCCATGTGGTGGATGAGGAATAGATTACTCCCTTAAGATCTAGACCCACAAATGCAACTGCCTTTTGCATGTCCCCTGTCTCCTAACATGCACAAACTCAGCTCTTCATCTTCCCCTCAACCTGCCCCTCCTCCTGACATTGCCCATATAGTGAAGGACATCATCGTCTGTGCCAGAAAATGATCATCCTTGACCCTTCTGGCTCCTTCACCCACATCTACCTCTGTCAAATCTATCCATTCCTCGCTTTCCTGACTGCCTTAGTTCAGACACCACCACCAGTCTTCTTCCCTGCAGTCTTGCCCTGCTCTCATCCAGTCGCACATTGCAACCTAAGTGGCCTTTCTAAAATTAAAACCCTGGGGCACCTGGGTGGCTCAGTCGTTAAGTGTCAACATCAGCTCAGGTCATGATCTCAAGGTCTGTGAGTTCAAGCCCCATGTTGGGCACTGTGATGACAGCTCAAGGCCTGGAGACGTCTTTGAGTCTCCTCTCTCTCTCTCTCTCTCTCTCTGTTCCTCCCCCACTCCTGCTCTGTCTCTCTCTCTCAAAAACAAATAAACATAAAATTAAAATCTTCCTATCTTCTGGAGAAACCATACACTCCTTAACACTGCCTGTAAGAGCTCACGGCCACTTACTTTCCCAGGCTTATCTCTTGAATTTCCCTCTCTTCCCTCTACCCCACAACACACTGGGACACAAGTTGGCTAATTTTAATTCAGCCTTTGGGTATCACTTCTTCCCTACCTCCCACATCCATTTTAATCATCCCTCTTATGTGTCCCCATAGCATCCCAATTTCCTCAATGATAATGCTTTTCATGCTGTGCAAAATGGCCTATTTACTTGTCTGTTTCCCTCACTAGACTGGAAGTTTCATGAAGGAAAAGACTATGCCTGTTTTATTCAAGGTTTTATTCCTGGCCCCAAGTATAAGAGCTATGTGTCATGCTACAAAACGAGTGCTCAATTCTTACTTGTTCAGTCAATGAATCAATCAATGAATACCTAAGGGTGGAAGAGAAGTTGTTCTGGAAAAGCTAACTGTTGATAAAAATGGATCGAGAACACGTGGGCAAAGATCGTTTAGTTAATTTCCTGGAGCATAAAAACTGCTAGTTACATTGCTGATGTTTTCTAACCTATATTAAATGTTCCCTATTCTGTGGCTAAAAAACTACATTTATAATCACATATACAAGCCACAAAGTAAAGTGGACATTTAGCAGTTTCCCCATTAGATAAATGTCTACAAGTAAACTTGATAATGCAGAACAAAGCAGCTTTAGATTGTGCTAAATTATAAACTGGTTACACTCATCAAGATAACTGGACAAATAAACCCTCACAGTAGTCACAAACATGGCATGTAATCGGAGAATCCGATCCAAAACTCATAACTCAAATTAATAGTTAGTGTATATGAAAAATAAACAAGATGTTAATGAAAACAGCATGCCTGACACCTTATTCCAGTGGCCTCTATATTTTAACTGTGGTTTTTACTCATAACTCACTTTGTTGTCAAGATTAATTACACCCTCAGAACAAATAGAGTTCTCACCTTACTGTCAGTATGAAGGTTAATTATGTGGGCTTTTTATTGTCTGTCTGGTAACAGCCACAGTAGTCAATGAAACAGAGCAAACATGATGCATGGAATTTACTACTGGTGGTCATTTTGATCATAGTGTCACTCAGGACTCAGGGCTCTGAATTATTTAGCTTGCAGTAGGAGCGCTAAGCTAGAATACAGTTCAGTTACTAATGACCCAAATACAAAACACACTGTAAAAGAAAAATGAAAAAGAAAAAGCAATCCCTTGCTAAACATCCCTCTACACGTTTTTTTTTAAGGGATTAACATTTCCTCATGAAGAAAATCAGCATTTGGCTGGTGCCAATGGGGCAATAGACGCTGTCTGGACATTTCTGTAGATGTGAAAGAACAGAGCAAAATGAAAACAGGAAAGGGAAGCAGTAGGAAAAATGAAAGAGGAGCAGCACTCTAGTGCTCCGGGAAATTGTGTAGAGATGGAGAATCCTAAAATATCTGCCCAAATGATCTAATCTTTTCCAGGTTCCTATTAAAATTACGTCTTCTGAAACTAGTAATTAAAGTAGCACCTAGGGCTACTTGGTGGCTCAGTCAGTGAAGCATACGACTCACAATTTTGGCTCAGGTCATGATCTCGCAGGTTCATGGGATGGAGCCCTGTGCTGGGCTCTGCACTGCGCGCACAGAGCCTGCTTGGGATTTTCTCTCTTCCTCTCTCTCTCTGCTCTCCCTTGCTCTTGTTCTCTCTCCAAATAAATAAATAAATAAACATTTAAAAAAATAAAGAAGCACCCATCTGCCTGCCTGCTTCTTAAGTATGTAAATTTATAGCTTGCCTTCAAGTATTATGGGAAGATTACAAACATGACTAAAATGGAGTATGTCAAATATCAAATAAGTATTCAATGAATAATAGCTCCGAGTGTTTTCTAACACATCAGATGTAACCAGCCTGGTCCAGCTTTGTTTTCCTAGTCAGAACATGCAGATATCTTTCTTTTTGCAAATGGTTACATGTCCATTATGGTTCTTTGTTTTCCACTTGAATAATTAACCTGGGTCTATACCCCAAAGCCTAAATTCCAACAATCTATGAAAAAACAAAGCTACATTAAGCATTTGTGAACATTAACTTCAAAAATATTTCTGGGGCACCTGGGTGGCTCAGTTGGTTGAGCATCCAACTCCTGATATCAGCTCAGATCATGATCTTGTAGTTCATGAGATCGAGCCCTGCTCGGGCTCTGTGCTGACAGTACAGTGCCTGCTTGGGATTCTCTCTCTCTCTCTCTCTCTCTCTCTCTCTCTCTCCCTGTCCTGCTCATGCTCGCTCTCTCTCTCTCTCTCTCTCTCTCTCAAAAATAAATTAATTTTAAAAATGTCTAAGTTCCTTTGGATAGATTGCTAGAAGTAGAAGTATTAGGTCAAGGGGTAGGAGCATTAGTGAGGCTTTTCATACATTCAGCAATGAGCTTTATAGAAAGGTTATACCAATTGCTAACCCCTCACAGAATTTGAGACTGTCTGAGCCACTGCACACTAATAGGAAGAACAGAAATTTTTAACAATCTATGTAAATTTAAGAACTGAAAAAAAATGGGACTCTGTTGTTATTCCAATTTTCATTTCTTTGATTAATGGAAAGAGTATATATATTTTTTAATTTATTTATTTTTGAGAGAGAGACAGAGACAGGGCAGGAGTTGGGAGGGGCAGAGAGAGGGAGAGACACAGAATATGAAGCAGGTTCCAGGCTCTGAGCTGTCAGCACAGAGCCTGATGCTAGGCTTGAACTCATGAACTGTGAGATCATGACCTGAGCTGAAGTCAGATGCTTACCCAACTGAGCCATCCAGGCCCATAGTATGTATTTTCATTCATCTATTAGCTATTTAGTTTTCTCTTCCATAGATAGTCTGTTTCTGTCTTTTGCCCAGTTTTCTGCTGGAGTCTGTATTAGTTTTCTTTTCTTTTTTCTTTTCAAAGTAGGTTCCACACCCTGCCTAGAGCCCAGTGTGGTGCTTGAACTCACAACAGTGAGATCAAGACCTGAGCTGAGATCAAGAGTCACACACTTAACTGATTGAGCCACTCAGGTGGCCCTGTCTTAGCTTGCTATAGCTATATAACAAATTTCCACAAACTTAGTAGCTTAAAGCAACACTCATTTTCTCTTATTTTACAACTCTGAAGTTCCAAAGCCTGGGTAAGCTGGCTCTCTGTTCAGGGGCCTCTCTCAAGAGGCTATATTCAAGGTTTTGTTGTCCAGGCTAGGCTCTTCGCTAAAGGCTCTGGTGAAGGACCCAGTTCTAAGCTCATTTGGGTTGTTGGCACAGTCCAATGCCTAGACTGTACCCCTACATCTGAGGCTCCAGCTTCCATGCTGAGCCACCTTCAGCAACTCGAGGCCTCCTGCATTCCTTCTCAAGTGTCCCCTCCACCTTGAAAACAGCAACAGTATGTTTTCCTCCTCAAGCTTCAAATCGATGGATTTCCCAGCCAGAGAATGCTCTCCACTTTCGTGGGCTCCTGCGATTAGGAAAGCACCACTCAGATATTCTCCCCATTTTAAATTCAACTGTGTCATAAAATATATTCAAAAGAGTGCTGTTTCATCCTCTATAGGCTGCATAGACTGAGGCATGCAATCTTGGTAGAGGGACGGTTTTAGAATTCGGCCTGCTATAGTCTTAGGTGTTCTTATTTGTTCATGTCTTCATGATAAATCTTAATTGCATGAATTTACTAAATAAATGAATCTTGGGGCGCCTGGGTGGCTTAGTCGGTTAAGCGTCTGACTTTCGCTTAGGTCATGATCTCGTGGTTTGTGGGTTCGAGCCCTGCATCGGGCTCTGTGCTGACCGCCAGCTCAGAGCCTGGAGCCTGTTTCAGAGTCTGTATCTCCCTCTCTCTCTGACCCTCCCCTGCTCACACTGTCTCTCTCTCTCCTAGAAATAAAAAAAAAAAAAATTAAAAAAAATAAAAATAAAAAAAATAAATGAATCTTACTGATGACTGTAAGAAGTTGCATTTTCACATGACAAAACCAACTGTGGATGGTGCTGCTGTGTGCCTGTAAGAGCTTCGAATAACAGGGCTCCTGGGTGGCTCAGTTGTTAGGTATCTGACTTAGGCTCAGGTCATGATCTCACAGTTCGTAAGCTCAAGCCCTGCTTCGGGTGAACACGAGCCCCACTGTGAGTAAAACACCAGCCCTGGGTGAGCTGTGCTTCTCTCTCTCTTTCTCCCCCCTCTCTCTCAAAAAAGAAGAAAAGAAAAGAAAAGAAAAGGAAAGAAAGAAAAAGAAAAAAGAGAAAAAACAAGAACTTTTAACACCTAACTATGGCAACACTGATTTTTTTTATTTTATTCTGGGAAAATACACATAAGATTTGCCATCTTAACTACTTTCAAGTGTACAGTTCAGTAACATTAAGTACATTCACACTGTTGTGCAACCCATCTACAGAACTCTTCATCTTGCAAAACTGAAACTGTACTCACTCAACAAACCTCTCCATTTAGCCCCTTCCCCAGCTTCTGCAATCACCACTCTACTTTCAACACTGGCTTACATATATATATATATATATATATATATGTGTGTGTGTGTGTATGTGTGTGTGTGTGTGTATATATGTGTGTGTGTATATATATAAATCATTTAAATCAATATATTTAAATATATTTAAATCAATGAGATAGTCATTTTTTATTTTTTAGTAATCTCTATACCCAATGTGGGGCTTGAACTCATGACCTTAAGATCAAGGGTCACATCCTCTTCTGACTGAGCCAGCCAGGAACCCCTTATGTGTTCCTTAACAAACATGTATGTAGCAATTATTACATGTGCTGTTCTTAACACTTTAAAAATATTAATTCATTTAATCCTCATAACAACCCTATGAGATCAGAACTATTACTAAATCCATTCTACAGATTTGGAAACACAGCAGGTAACTTCCCAAGGTTACACAATAGGAATCTGCTACACAGGAACTGAAATCCAGGTAGTCTGGCTTTATAGTTCTTGCTATGAACCATCACACCGTGAAAATATTCATTTTAAAGACAGACTCATAAGGCGTTAGTATTATTTCTTTGATGTGCTTGATTTCAAAAACACTTCTCTATGTGCTATTTAATCTAATACTCTTTTACGAATTCAAAGTTAGATTACATGGCCAGAGAGACATGTCTGTATATAGTCCACTTTTTGGTGAAGGCATTTTCGCAGGTACAACAATTAAAATTTACATGTAGTCGATTTATAAGAAAATACCTAATGAATGAACAAAAATTGCGATTCACTATGACTATGAAAATATTAAAGAAAAACAAGTGTTTCTCTTTTACAAGGAGGATTTAAAAAAAGAAAGAAAAAAACTTCTAAATAAGTTTACAACAGCATAGCTTAATCTCAGTTTGACCTGGTAAATTTCAAATCTGCCCTGCTTTGCAAGCTATAAATCGAGACCTATCCCCGTTTGCCATCAACTATATACATCAGTAGATAATTTTATTTGTTGAATGGGTCTGAAATGCCCTTATTATCCTGGTGTTTTAGCATAGGAATCCTCTCCCAGAACACCAGATCACGCTTGTCAGCAGTCATACAGTGTCCTTTACATTAAAAATAAGCATTGTCAACAGAAGGAACAATCGTCGTTTCTCTAGAAGCCCCGGCGTGATGGGAGTTAAAATCTCTGTTGAGGTTTGGTTTCTAGGACCCAGGAAGCCGGGAGACTGAAAACGCACAGAACAGGATCTGCTATTTCAAGTGCTTGCCGCTTATACACCTGATTTATTAAAAAAAAAAAAAATAAGCAGACGAAGCACAGTGTAATCTGCCCACACCTGTTATCCACTCCATTGCAGTGCCGTCTCCGGCGTGAAATAAAAACCAGAGTACGGAAGAAAGAGCAAAATCATCGCAACCCCCCGGATACCCTCGGGTATGTGTTACAGTGCTGTCATCCCCACACCCTTCCCCCACTGGCCAGCCCGGCAGCACAGAAGCAGGCAGACGCTCACCTGGCCGCCGGCCGTTTCTGTCCCTTCACCTACGGGGCCTGCCGTCTACACCCGGCCGGGGCGCGGCTTCGCGGCGGGCCCGCCTCACGGTGACAGCCCTTCTGGCCGCCGACCATCCCAGCGCGGCGGTCTGTTTACAGGCGCTGCTCGCGTTCCCACACTTAAATGCTTCCCCCCGGCCACCCGGGAAACGAGACCCAGACACACAAGGTTCCAGGTCGCAAGGACTCGTCTTTTTTTGCCCAAGGTCCCCGCGGCCGGGCGGGGCCTGACCGCACAGCCGGGCCTTATCTCTGCCTCCTTAGACACGATGTTTATCACACACATTTTTTGAAAACAATGGCGTGCGCCGCAGTCTCCTCACTGCCCCTCCCAACGCCCGAATGGATGTTTGCAGTTGGAAATTTTCATTTGGGACATACACACAGGCTTGGACCCATTTTTAGCAGCTCCCTACGAAAATTACTCACATACGTTCTTTCTGAAAATGGGACTATTACAACCTGGAGATTGCTTCTCATTTCATGTTTGCGGCTGCGGAGAAAATCAATTTTCGCTGTCCTTTCATGTTGTAGACAGCAGGCTGAAAGGGGGTGATTTTGAGGGGAGGTCTTCAACCCCCATTTGGATTCCCAGCAAAACAGTGGTGTGCTGTGTGTGTGTGTGTGTGTGTGCGCGCGCGCGCGCGTCTGTTGTGTTCATATCCACACTGACTGGCACCCTGGGGCTTCTCAGTAAGACATCCCACGGCACCAAACCCTCAGTGATTTTGGCCAGTTTGTAAGAGGATATGCTGATCTAGCTGGGTAAGCCTTTCCTTGAAGTTTGCAAACATTGTTCCCCATCACAGCACACTTCCTTACCATTTTCTCAATTTATAATTACACGTTTATTTAAATACCTATTTTATTGGCTTCTCCACCCCCATCCCAGCCTCACCTATAAATTCCTTGAGGGCATGAACTATTTCTTTTTGCTCACCACCACGTAATAGGCACAAAGCACCAGTGCCCAGTGTATATATGTTTGAATGAGTGAAGAAATGGATGCAAAAAAAAAAAAAAATGTCCAAGGAGGCTAGAGAAAGCAACTTGAAAGGAATTGAAAATTCCCAGAGGAACTCACATGTTCCTCTATAAATGAGGAACTTGTTACAAATTCATGTGTATACTCATCCTCTCCCTAGCCAGGTGATTTTCACACATCAGCATGGAACAATCTTCTGAAAAGGGGCTTCTTAAACACAAACTTTAATGTTTGAGGATCCTGTTAAAATGCAGATTCTGATTCAAGACATCTGTGGTGGGGTCTCTGCACCTCTAATGAGCTCCCAGGTGATGCCATTTTTTTTTGAGTGTCAAGGCTCTTGAATACTCATTAAAAATGCAAATTCCCAGGTCACAGGTTTGTATCCTGAAGGTCTATACCATCCTGAATTTTATGATTTGAACAGCTGCCTCAAAGTGCTTCCAACATAGGTGATCAGTGGATTACCCTTTGAGAAAAACTATACCGTTCTGTGAAGTTCGAGGGCAAAGGCCCAGGCTCTGTCACTGTTTTCCCAGTGTGCATCAAGCACAGGGTCTGCACATAAAATGCATTAAAGAGTCACATTTGCAAAATGACTGAAGTTATTCACTATCACTAATACAGAGCCTAAGCACTGAACCAAGGGGGTGGTCCCAGAAAAGCCCCAGAAAAGCGATGAAAAGTCAAAGGCTGAGAACAATCTCAGCTGGGCAGGCTCTCAGGCTTCCATTAGGTCAGCAGGGGATATTTTACTCCTTTACATTTAAAACATTTAAGTTCATGTCTCCATTCAAATGGCTGTCTGCTAAGAGCAGTCCCACCATCATTTCTTTCTTTTTTTTTAATAGACTTTATTTTGTAGAGCAGTTTTAGGTTCACAGCAAAACTGAGTGGAAAGTACAAAGTTTCCATATGCTCCCTGCCCCCTATATGCACAACCTCCCCCACCATCAACACCCTGCACCGCAGTGGTGCATTTGTTACAATCAATGAACTTCAGTGGACACAGCAGTACTACCCTCAATCCATAGGGTCACATCTCTGTATACACCTCTTAGATCTGACACTTACACTACCAATGACATCACTGTTTGCCCAACGTAGTTTGAGCTCGTTTCTATCACTTAAAACTGAAAGCATCTTGACGAATATTCCACCATTTCAGACTTGTCTCCTGCATACTCTTTTCCTCCCGCTCTAAACTCCAGGCTCATATCTTTATTTTTTACCACTCCTGTCTACGCTTCCTTTCCCATTATCCCGCTTTAGTCTCCCCTATTATATCTCCTTCTGCCTGCTCCAAAGTTCAGGGACTTCATCTTATTCATCGCTGCATGTTCTAGGACACTTAACATTGTATCTAGTAAATGATCTCAATAAATGTGCCTTGAACGAAATGAAGTACCAAATGACATGCAAGTAGATTTTATTATTATATCCCTTCATTAATTTTTTTCCTTTTAGCCACCATTTACTACCATAATGATCAGACCAGGATTCAATAAAGCAATGCCGTCTTCCTAAGAAATAAAAGTCTCATTAAAAAAATGCTTTAAACTTAATCAGAAAATTTGGAGTGCTATTTATAGCTTAAAGTTTGCAAGCCAAGTATATACCTCACTCCCATCTCCCTGGTTATGCCCAAGTAAAGATGATTAGGATATTCATTGAGAACAATATAATTTGTCTCCTTAGGTAAATTAAAAGCATTTGAGATATAGAATGTCAAAGTTGTAAAAGGAGTCACTGGTGGAAAGTACAAATGAGCTTAATATTCAACTAGCAGGCACCCACAAGACCATACCCAGTGTTAAAATATTGAAATAGTTCTATACAGGTAGGTTATTGGCTTCAGTCCCTAAGCTTCCTAAGTGTCCCAAGTCTCTTTCTGAGGAACCCCCTCTCCACCCATCCTAAGATCCAACACCAAAAGGATTAATACCTGACCCTGTTCTACTGGAATAGTAGCTATCCACAAGACCCTACTCTTGCTTTAGGGCCAGAATTCTTTTTGATCAGTTGATGGTCTGCCCATACAATTTTTTAAGTTTTTTGACTATCACTTCTACAAATAGGTAAACAGGAGGTAAAAAATTAAAAACCTTCAGCAAAGCAAAATAGTCAATGATTCCCCACCCTATCCCACATACAATTCCTTTTTTAACAAGAAAACTCAAAAACAAATGATAGAATCGTACAGAAAAGCTTCTTTCATTGGACAATTTGAATGTGGTTCATTTTGGAACAAGCATGAACTACAGGAATTCATTGTCCTATAGGATGATGAGTACTCACCAGGGCCTCTATTAAGTGCTTACCTCTTGAGCAACATCATTTGTCATTGGGGAATTAAAAATTGAACTCCAGTTTAGGTACCACCAATAATCCCTCAGAACTGATAAAATTAGAAAAAACAAAAAAAAACAAAAAACCTGACAGTACTAAGTGAAATATGTTTTGCAGCATCTACTGAATTTTAACACATGAAAACCTTGAGATTCCATATGTACACCAAGAGACAGACATGAATGTTGATAGCGCCATTTCTTGTAACAGTCTCAAATGGGAGGGGCGCCTGGGTGGCTCAGTTGGTTAAGTGTCTGACTTCAGCTAAGGTCATGATCTCACTGCTTGTGAGTTTGAGCCCCACATTGAGATCTATGCTGACAGCTCAGAGCCTGGAGCCTGCTTCCAATTCTCTGTCTGTCTGTCTGTCTCTCTCTCTCTCTTTCTCGCTCTATAATAAATAAATATTAAAACAAAATTAAATAGTCTCACACTGGAAACAACCTAAATGTATATCGATAATTAAATGTACCCACTCATGATACCAACACCACAGTCCAAGTAATAAGCATGTTCATTGTGTATGTCCCAATTTACTACTTTGTATACATTAAGTATGTGCAGGTTTTTATATTTTAATTATACTTCAGCAAAGATGGAAAAAATCAAATGTATATAGAAATCATGGTATGTTTGAGCAATGGATACTCTTAACAGTTACATAGTATAATGCTGAATATACCAGCTTTAGGAAGCTATTAAGCAACTGAAGAGTGATCAGTCAGAATTGAGAGTGCTGTCACTGTAAAATGGACACTAAGTTTCTAAAACTTTGTATGTAAAAAGAATATAAAATGTCTCAGTAAAAAATTTTGTAATGATTACATATTGAAATGACAATATTTTGGATATATTGGAATATATAAAATATACTTAAATTTTTTAAAGAAAGGTTAAAACCTTGTATAAGCAAAATTGTCTCAATCTTGATGTGGGATAGAACCTTTTTGTATGATATAGTCTCAACTTCCTTCTGGGAAAACCTAGCATTCCTGCTAAGTGCTTAAGCAATCGGCAAAGTTTAGATAAACTTTAACAGTATTAAGAGTTGTTGCAGGCCTTCCCCAGAAGGCAGACTTTGAGAGGCGGCATGCAGAAAGTGCCCTTGGGATCAACACACCAGCATAGGGTGGGTGAGGGGATGGGAGCTGAACAGGGCCAAGGGAGAGATACAGCCATGAGGCCCAATGACAGCCTCCGCCAGCCCCTTGAAGACCTCAGAGACACAGTGGCCCTTCAGAGCCTTCAGGGAAGTCCTGAGTTGGGCCGAGAACAGTGGTGTGCTGGCAAACTGACGCTCTAAAAAGCCAAAGCCCCAATCTGTTTGTGTTTGCCAATTTCTGTGGAGTAAATGCCACACCGTGCCTAATTTCAAGCTCTGGATGTCACGTCATTGAACATGGAACTTAAGATGTGCACACTCAGGCCTCCATGTCCGTGGAAGCTGGCTCTGGCACACCACTGACCAAGGGGGCCAGGCCTTCCCTCTCCCACAGCCATCGTTCCATGGATGGGGTGCCCTCGGAGAGGGACCACGGCCTTGGGCAAGGTGGCTCTCTGCGGTTGACACAATCCCTGAGGGGGCTGACCGCTGAAAGCCATCTGCTGACAGCACTCCTTTCTAGGAGCTGGGGCAACAAGTCCTTTCCAATGAGAGATTTGGCAGCTCATCTAGAGTCCACCATACTTATTCTAGAAAAGAAAACACTTACCCACTCAACACATTGTCCAGCAAGAGTCCAATCATCTTTC